TACAATACTAACAAAAAACGAACAAAAATATGTTTTAATAATGTTCGCTCCAAATGATTTGGCAATCGAAATTTGATACAACGACCGAGTCGAGTGCATAAATTACCAAGCTAAACGCAAGTAATTCTCATAAAAAACAAATGCACTGAATGCACTGAATGCACGAATACGATTACGATTACGAGTGCGGTTCTCAGATTGCAATTGCCCCTCTTTATCTCTATACCCCAAATGTCTACGAATCGCGGTCAAAACGCGGCCAACACACAATGGCCCCAAAAATGGCAAATGTTGGTAAGCTAAGACCAAAGCAAACAGCGGGATGCAAAGGAGTTAGAGGTGGAAGGGGACACACGTGTTAGGCAATGAATGTGACGATTTTCCATTAAATGCAAATGCGAAACTTGCTGCACAAAAATAGCATCCAGCTGTGGGCGGTTTTAAACGCGCGCGACAATAGACGCGAGTGCGTGTTTTGCAAGCGGCTTGTTGCAGGTGAATTATATTTTGAAAGAGTCTGTTTTGGACAGTGATATCTGTACATTTGTTGTGAATTTAAGTGAATTGCAATATTAATGTTATTATGTTGCTTTATACATAAATATATGGTTTTCTTTCCAATGAATTCTCAACCTAAAGCATATAAATGTATATGAATATATATTTATATGACAATGCCTATCATCGCTCTTTGTTGTGCATTTCAACGGGTTGCAGTTTGAGTTGCCTCTGCAACGACTATTTTTATGACATTTAAACAATTATTTTTGAGCACAAGCAAGAGTTGTTAAAAATATCATTTCATTCGCGGCTGCCGGGCCAAGCCCCACAAAACAGCAAAATCAAGCCAAATGGCGACCAAGTCTGGTGTCAACATGTCTGAGACCGCCAGGCGCTGCACAGTTGTTGTTGTTGCTGTTGCTGTTGCTATTCTTGCAACGCCCCGCGGCTAAACATGCGATTTTTGATTATACCCTAGAAAAAAGTATTAAAATAACGTGATGAAATGTGTAACAGACGCATATAAATAAAGTATTCCTTCGCCCATATTGATCAGTTTGGGGTTTGGACTCAATATTACTGTAGGGTCTGTCTATCTCAGTTGATAATACGGATAAATGATGGTAAATTATATGTCTGGTAGGGTATTTAATATGCACCCACCAAATAATTGCAGTTCTTTTTTTATTTCTTGCCGGATTTTTACCATATTTTGCAGCCGCCAAAAAACTTGCCAAAATATGATTATGAACCTGTTGCTTTTGTTGTTTTGTGCTGCTTGTTGCTGGCAGCTCGTTGTCTGGCTTGTCTGAAAATCGAATTCTTGAATGAACCATTAATCTTGTTGCCAGCTTTTGGCTGCAGCCGGCCACCGAGAAAATCATTAAATGGCTGCAGTAATTGCATGGCTGCTGCAGCTTCAGGTTTTGCCTCTGTTTCGACTTTGGTTATTTTGCTGTTGTTGTTGTTGCTGCTGTTTTTTTCTCATTTCCAGTTAATGAATGCGGCTTTGTCATATTACAATTACGTCGCCCGGCTGGCTGGTTGGCTGACTGGTTGGTTGGCTGGCATTACACCTGCGTCATTATGCGACGACCCCTTGGGGTCCGAATTGGACCCAATTGGTTCTACTCGACATTTTGTGTGTGAAAGGTTGTCGCAGCTTGCCTTTTGTCTTAAGGTTAAACTGAAACACCAGCTATGGGCGCAGCTTAGAATTGGCTATATCACTTGACAATTTATTAAATTTATTAGATAGGGCTTGTTGTGTTCTCACGACAGCAAACTAGACTTTAGCAATGTCAGCGAACTAGTTTGAAACTGATATTACAAAGGTTATTTAACAATGCATAAATGGTTGTTTTTTTCTTGGTTAAAGACAGACAGACAGATAATAGTCTAGACAGTTGTCCCACATCTGAGATACTCTTTTTAATGGTTCAATGATCAGCTGATCTTCAGTCACAGTTTGAACACCTCTCACTTGCAAACTACATACGAGTATTTATGTTGATAACACAATCTTGTGTTGTAGAAAAGTGAAAATCACATTTTTAAAGCGCTGCTGGACAAGACATCGAAATTTCAATTTCCAATGCAGTGGCAGGCATAATTTGTTAATTAATTTTCAAGCTACAACTTAATCAAAATGATGTGGCCAATTAAAATGCCACCACGGGGATGCCAAGCGATAAGACACACGACAAGATAGACGCACACAGAGAGAGAGGGAGAGGCAGAGACAGGGAGAGATTGTATTGCGAACTAGTTTAAAGAAAGCCTTTCTTCGTTGTGGTGCCGCGAAACGGAACGAATCGTCAACGATCGTATCGAAACGAAACTTAATTACACCACGCCCGGCCCGATGGATCGATGAATCGATGGAGCATTTGTCTATCGAGGGAGGAAGGTGGCTGAAATGGCTGAGGTTGGCATGACTGTAAGCTCAACACAGAAGTCCAACGATCAAAAGATGCTCAGCGATTAAAGCGACAATGGCAGAAAAATAAAACCATCAAACCGACAACTGACAGCAACAGCCAGACAGGTTAGACAAACTGACAAACAGTCAGAGTGGGTTGATGCTGCAGCACCACCAACGGCACCACTTAGAAGTGCCACATCATGATTCTCAGCATCCGCAGCGGAAATGGGTAATAACGACACGCTATTCCTATTCCATCCGCTAGACATCCGTGGGAGTTGCCAGCGAACATTAGTCGACTCCTTATGAAAGTCTGCTGGCATCCAGCTTAGAAGTATTTCTGAGGAGTGTATAAATTCTGCACTCAGCTCTTCCCATATACCCACCAGGGCTATAAGTTTGGAACGTTTGGTCACGCAGCAGCCTTTCGCTTATCTTCGGCTTTCAATTAAATCCACGGCAATCCTTACCAAATTTAGCCAAATTTATACTCATCGAGTCGGCAACTTCACCTGCCTCTAAAACTAACCAATTTCAACTTATTATCCCACACAATGCAAAAGGCAAGAGCATGGAACGGGTTCTGATCACGTTTCAGTGCAGTTCAGAGCCTGCAGATCAACCCACTCAAAAGAAAAATCAAGTAAGAGCTCAATATTTGAGAGTGCCCACCTAAGAGATTCCCTGTGAACTAAGTCTGCGAGAAGAGCAGCTCTTATGGTCACAAAATCATACGGGATTTATATAAAAGCATGTTGGGACTAACGATTTTTATCAATTAGTGGACAAATGCGAGGAACTAGCTAGAATCCATCGTTCGAAATCTGAAAATTCTAGCTATTCTGCTTACGGACAGACAGATTGTTATATTGATTCAGCTCTTCCTTCTGACATTATACTTTTTGGGATTGCCGATGGTTCCCTCTGCTCCATACTTTCCCCCTCACCTTATGCGATCCATTGTATACAAATTTAATGGGTATGAGAAAAAATACAAAACAAAAAGCAGAGAAAAGAAAAGGTAAAAACAAATCCAGTCTCGAAATGATTTGCGGTTCATTAAGACGAGACCAAACAGACAGACGGAAGACTGCGTCTACGATGACTAAGACCCAGGCAAACTGTCCGATTGTCCGGCTGTCTGATCTGTCTGGTCACTAAATACACTTGACAGTTGGCTGGCTGCATTTGAGTGAAATGGACTTTTGGGCTGGTGTCCGGCCAACGCAGACGTCGCCCGATAAGGCGTAGACGGGACACATTTGCCTGCCGTCATGGAGCTCACGCTCACGATTAACGCCAACAGCTCAGCTCCTCCAGCTAATCGGACAGATCGCGACAAGATGGACAGACGAACAGACAGACAAGCAAGCAGACAAACAGACTGACAAACAGACAGTATAGGCCAGTCCAGTCCACTCCTAGTCCCAGTCCCAGTCTGGGCAGACACTGATATTAATTGTGTCTGCTGGAATAAAAATGATGATGTTCAAAGCTTTGCAAAGTCTCTGCCACAAAGTGGAAGAATCTGGCAAATAGCAGTAGGAAGTCGAACAAGCTTTGTAGTCAAGTAGGTTGAGCTGTTTGATTGCAGAAGATTCGTGTAACATGATATAATAAGGACAACATACCAAATGTGGGTTGGGAAAGGAGCAGGAGTTAACCATCAGCAGAGGAGGCAGCGCTGATAGAGCTGTCAAAAGTGTACAAGATGAAGTACAATGTGAACAGCAAGTACAGCATAAGAATATTTATGAAGCAATAGGTTGCCAAAGAGACAGCAGTAATCAGAAACGATTTATACAAAGGAAATAATAGCCATAGAATACGTACAGGTAACTTGACAATACCACATTGTAGGAAGTCCCCTTAATTAGGTATAGTCAGTGGCGAAGAAGCCGAATCCTTGTCAAGAATAACATTCTTTCAATGACCTCTTGAACGAACTAAACGGAATGATAATTAGTCAGTTTGGGCCTTTGTCTTCCATCTACAGTGAAGTTTTGTTGGCTTTTGGGTTTTGCTGCGCTTTCCTTCTCGCATAGTTGGTCCAGTGCCTGGAGCACAGTTCACAATCAACCACACACACTCGCACACACTCGCACACACTCACACACACTCGCACACGCACATACACACTCACACACATGACTAATCAATACTCAACGCCTTTCTATTCAACGCTCGCATTCTGCCGGGGCCTGGCCTAGTCGATACACTCAGAAAGAAATTGAATAATTTTATAATTAACAAAAAAGCCAATATAAGATTTATTCTATGTAAACACATCGAAAAGAATATTCTGGAAATCAGTAAGAAAGAGACATCCTTCAATTTCAGCCAATGTACTGAATAATAAGGTTAGGAATACTTGGCGAATTTCTTTCAATATTTTTTCAGAGTGTATGATTCGTTTCGGTACGGTACGGTTTGCCTTTGTTTGGTTGAGGCATGTGCAATAATTGTGAACTTTCATCATTGATAAGGCTGAGCACACATGCATAAATACTAGTTATAGACGTTTGGCTGTCTGACAGAAAGACTCAAGTCATGTTTTCTTTTTGTTCACTTGCAGCAGCATCGGCAGGAGTCGCAGTCACCGGATTATCACCGTTATGCGAGCATTGGCAAATTGCCTCGTGTGGCAAGCAACGGCAATGGCAACGGCAACGGCAATGGCAGCGGTATTGGCAATGGCAATGGGCTTGTTGGCGGCAACACACACACCATCACCGTCGACATACATCAACACAATGGGCCTGCCAAGCTGCTCAACAACAACAGCAACAGCAACAATAACAACAACGGCAACAACAACAATCTGCATTTGCCATATGGCGATCTGAATGCAGCTCCGGCATTTGCCACGCCGCCCACGCGTCGGCGTTTCTTCAATCACAAGAATCTGCGGAGCGCCCTCGCCGGACACAGACGCACTGCCTCCAATGGAGGTTGTCCCCTTGACACAGCATCGACATTATCGGGCGGTAAGTTTCCAAGTTGCCTTCGCTATTGGAATTAGGAATTAGGTGTTGGCATTTTAGTGACACACACATATCCTTCGAGTTCCTTGGGCACTTCTCACATTAGTTTGTCATAAGTCTCGCACACACTTTCTCTCATATTCTACCGGCATCTCCCGCCACATCATCCAGATCATCATCATCATCATCATCATCATCATCATCAAGGCAAGGAGTCGAATGCCTTGAATACCTCAACCTGCTCGGATTCGGCGGTAACTCGACGCCGACGCAAGAATGTCAGCAATCATAATTTAAAGACATCCACGGAACACGGGGCAAGCAGCGAGAATCGTTTGAATCGCCTCAGTTTGGCCGGCACCTCGATCAAATCTCTGATTAAATCTCTGTGGAGCGTAAATTCATCAATCTCGAGCGAAGCGGGACTTAATCAACTAGCAGGCATGGCATCTCTCTCTCTCTCTCTCTCTCTCTCTCTCTCTCTCTCTCTCTCTCTCTTAGTTTCACGTGTTTCTCCTACTCGTTTCCCTTCTGTTTGTTGCACATTTAGCATGGCATATTTAGCATGAGACCTTTATATGAAAAGGGAATATATTTAATTATGAAAAGGGGTGTAAATTATCAGAGCTCGTTAATAAGTTAGTTAATAAATCAGTTAATAAATACCTTTGTATTTCTTTAGATTGATAGATCAACAAATTCTTATATATATACCTAAACATTATTTCTGTTTTGCTGACTTATGACTGACTGACTTATGTCACTCTGTCTTTGCTACCTTCAATTCCCTTTCAATTCGATTTATAGAATAACTATATTATAAAGCAGTCGTAGGAACAATCGGTCACTAATTGAGTTCTTGTTCGTTTGTTTCTGATAACATTTTGATATCTTTTCATGCTCATTTGATAAGTCTAACGATAAAATAAAGTTGAGTTCTTATTGTTAAGCCAAGATAAGAATATATATATATATTGAATATGTATCACATTTTTGCAAGTATTTAATTGTTATTGCATTTTTTGTTGAACTGTTGAAAATACCTCAAATTGAACTAACCCAGTTGTTGCATGACTTGTTAATTTTGTTAATATTTTTTATACTTTTACTCATGTAATATATAAATTTATATTATAACCTTTTATCTTTATTCTACACCTGTCCACAGGCAGCGACACTTTGGGCATCGTTCGTCATGCTCACTCGCTCGCAGTCAGTGAGAAGCAGCAAAAGGATCAGCTGCGCGCTCGCCTCGGCCTGCTGCTGAATGACAACAGCAACAACAATAATAATAACAGTAATAGCAGCAGCAGCAGCAGCGATCACAATGGCAACTCCACGATGCACTCGACCACGAGTGCGACGACATCGTCGAGTGGTGGCAACAACAGCACCAGCATCGGCACCACAACAGCCAACAGCAGCAGCAGCAGCAACTCCTCGCAGAATATCAGTCCGGAGCAGACGTTGGCCTTGGCCACTGCCGGGCTGAGTGGAAGTCAGCTGTCGGTGGCCACCTCCAACAAGGATGACACGCTCAGCTTGTGCAGCAAGTTCAAAATGGGCTGCATCATTCAGCAGCAGGATCAGCATGCCTATGAGGCATTGCCGGGGAAATCCCGCAAGGGCGCCGCCCGACGCTCGACACGTTCAGCAGCTCAGCAGTTGCTTCCGGGAGTGGGAGGATTGGCTGTGGCCAGTGGAGCATCTGCAACGGGTGCGGTTAATAAGCGTGCAGCAGCAGCAGCTGCCTTGGCAGCTGTCCAGTTGGCACTGAAGCCGCTGTTCTTTGAGGTGCCGCTTCAAGAGCCAGATCCACCCTATGTTGGTCGCCAGTGGTTGGTGCAGCAGCTCTCGAATATCCTGCTGGGCACGGATACGCGCGTGGTTCTCATCAATGGCCAGCCGGGCACCGGCAAGACCGCCTTCTGTCTGCAACTGGTGGAGTACTCGTGCTTTGGGCGGCGCCAGATGCAGGCCCAGCAGCAGCAGCAGCAGGAGGATGCGGATGCCATCTATAGCCAGCTGGGTGCACAGAATGAACGCATGCGCGGATTGGCCTCCCACATGGTGGGCTATCACTTCTGTCAAGCGGATGCGAATCTCACCTGCCAGGTGCCCGATTTTGTGCACTCGCTGGCCGCCCAATTGTGTCAGGCACCCCAGTTGACATCGTACCGGGACTATCTGTTGTCTGAACCCCATCTCCAGGATATACTCAGTGTGCGCGAGTGCATTGCGGATGCGGAGCGTGTGATGCGTCTGGCCATCTTGGAGCCACTTGTCCAGCTGCATCGTGCTGGCAAAATTCCGGCCAAGGTCGCTGTCATCCTAGTGGATGCACTGTGCGAGGCAGAGTATCATCGTCCCGATCACGGCCATACAATTGCCAGTTTTCTTGCACAACTCTCGCCACATTTTCCCGCCTGGCTCAAGCTGGTGGCCACGGTGCGCACCCAAATGCTGGAGCTGGTCAAGGCGCCCAGTTACACACAGCTCACTCTGGACAGTTGGGCCAGCAGTCAGTCGCTGCAGCAGGATATGTTGGACTACATCAATACACGCATCGCCCACTGTCCCGAGATACAGCATAATATTGGTGGACAGCTGGCACAGACGCAATCGGGACAGTCACTGACGAAGTTTGTGACGCATCTGCAATGCCTAAGTCGCGGCTCGATGCTGTATGCCAAGCTCATTCTCGATCTGATCTCGCGTGGCCAACTGGTGGTCAAATCGTCAAGCTACAAAGTGCTGCCCGTCTCCCTCGCCCAGATCTTTCTGCTCCATTTCAATCTGCGGTTTCCCACGGCGCGCAGTTTTGAGCAGACGGCTCCCATACTCAATGTCTGCCTGGCTGCACTTTATCCACTGACGCTGGACGAGATCTACTACAGCATGGAGGCACTGCAGCATGGCGAGGAGCCACTCAGCTGGCCGCACTTTATGCAGCGCTTCAAGCTGCTCGATGGATTCCTGATCAAGCGACTGGACAACACGTACATGTTCTTTCACAGCTCGCTGCGGGAGTGGCTGATGCGTCGCGATGAGGGCGAGTCCAGCAAGTTCCTCTGCGATGCCCGTTTGGGCCATGCAGGGATTGCCTTTAGACTGTCCCGTCTACAGGCGCCGCTGCAGCCACAGCTCACGTTGGAGCTGGGTCATCACATGCTCAAGGCGCATCTCTATAGCAGCGGCAATCAGGCGACGCTCTCGCCACGCGACCTTCAGTCGTATTGGTTGGCCGGAGCAGCGGATAACATCTCGGCTGCCTTGGGTGCATTGCGCAACGTCTACAGTCCCAATGTGAAGGTGTCGCGATTGGTGCTCCTCGCTGGCGCTTCGCCCGATCATCGTACCGATTATATGGGCGATGCTCCGATTCTCTGCATTGCCGCCCATGAGGGCATACTGCCCATGGTGAGCCTGCTACTCGAATTCGGCGCCGATGTGGGTCTGACCAATAGCCAGGGCTGTACGCCGCTGATCCTCGCCGCCATGCGTGGCCATTGTGATGTGGTGCGTCGTCTTGTTGCCGCCGGCAGCAGCCTCGGCCAGCTGGACACCACGCAGCGCTGTGCTCTGGTGCATGCCGCACGCATGGGCCATCTCAGTGTGGTGCAATATCTGCTGGCCTGTGATTGGTCACCACGTGCTCGGTCCCAGGACGTTGGACGTGCGCTGGCTCTGCAGCAGGCACTGATTGGAGCAGCGGCACAGGCACACGTCAAAATACTGGAGGATCTGCTGGATCTCAATGAGCACGAGCTCGACGATGAGCTTGGCGTCAATGTGAATGTTAATGCCCTGGAGCCGAGCAGCGGCGAGTTGGCCCTAACCGCAGCCGCTCGTCATGGCTGTTTGGATGCCGTCAGCATTCTGATGTCGCGTGGCGCCCAGATCGATGCGCGAAATCGTCAGGGATACACAGCCCTGTGGCTGGCCGTCAAGGAGGGTCACCGCAGTGTGGTGGAGCAGCTGCTGCAGCGTGGCGCCCTGCTCGACGAGCCGTTGGGGCAGGCACGCAAGACGCCGCTCATGATTGCCGCGGAGGAGGGGCATCTGGAGTTGTTGGAGCTGCTGCTGGGACGTGGTGCTGCACTGGAGGCGGAGGATCATGAGGGTTTCACGGCGTTGAGTTGGGCCTGTCTGCGTGGACATTTGACGGCTGCCAGATACCTCATCGAACATGGCTGCAACCGTCAGCATGAGGATCAAAAGCGGCGCACTGCGTTGGATCTGGCGGCGTATCAGGGTGCCGCCAGTTTGGTACTCTATTTGCTGGAGCAGGGTGCCAATCTGGAGCATATCGATATGCATGGCATGCGGCCGCTGGATCGTTCGATTGCCTGCCGCAACATCCAGGCGGTGCAGGTGTTTCTGCGCAAAGGCGCCAAACTGGGGCCCACCACTTGGAGCATGGCCATGGGCAAGCCGGAGATATTGGTGGTGCTGCTCAACAAACTGCTCGAGGATGGCAATGTGCTGTATCGCAAGAATCGTTTCCAGGACGCCGCACATCGCTATCAGTATGCATTGCGCAAGATTTCCGGGCTGGAGCAGCTGCTCGAACGGAATGCGGTCTTTGCCCAGCTGCGCACCAATCTGTTGCTAAATCTGTCGCGTTGCAAGCGAAAACTGAATGTAAGTCAAGCCAGTCAACCAATTGATAGACTTTTTATTAATAACATTACCTGTTTGTCCCGTGCAGGAACTTGACGCCTCCATAGATTTGGCCACGCAAGCCATACTGCAGAAACCGCACAGCTACGAGGGCTATTATGCACGGGCCAAAGCGCGCATGGAGCTGGGTGCTCTGAATGAGGCGCTTGTTGATGCCAACGAGGCGATGCAACAGGCGGCACAAAGCGGCGTCCTCTGCGAGGTCGTAGAAGTCCTCAAGCGTATTCAGGCCGAGCTCCTGACCCGTATCACCAGTGAGGATCAGTCCGGCGGCAAGTTTTCCGGAGCGGGTGCTTGCGCCGTCTACGAATCTCAGCAGGAGATGACCGATTTGTAATTGTCCTTTGTTGATGTTGTAAACTCGTCGCATATCGTATCGAATTCAAATCACAATCTTAACTTTATAATTGTCTAAGTTTAGCTCTTAGCTCTGTTTTTTATTTATTGCCTTTGGAAGTTTTATTAATTTAAAAAATTAATTTTTACTATTCTTTTTCTTTACGCATGTAAAAAATAGTTGTAATACACATATTATACTTAAGTTTATATTGCCTAATAAACAAAGTGCGAATTTATAAGATGAACTAAAAGTTGCTTATTTTCTCAGTAGGTGGGGCTGAAAATTACATTTTCAAAGCATACTTTTAGGGTAACAAATAAAATCCCTGGCTAAGCCAGTCACAGAAAAGTACAACTTTTAAAACATACTTTCAGGGCATTAAAAAATCTATAGGCCATTACATATAACTCTCCCAAGTCCTCATCTGATTTATTTAATTATTGATATGCCTGATCCAGACAAATCTTTTGACACAGGACTCGTTAGGATCTGAAAGAATATTGTTTTAAGAAAATTTACGTTTTTAATGCATGCTTGTAGGGTAACCAATAAAATCCAAACCCAAACCTGTCACAGAAAATTACAACTTTTAAAGCATACTTTGCAGGAGAAAACCCCTGGATCCCATTTCGGTATCACAACGGGCCAAATATGGCCTAAGTGTGTCAGACTACCGGGCTGACTGCCGATACAACCTAACCTAACCTAAAGCATACTTTCAGGGCTTGAAAAAATCGAATCGAGCGAATTTTTAAAAAATTACATCTAACTCTCCCACGTCCTCATCTGAATTATTTATTTATTGATATGCCTGTTCCAGACAAATCGTTTGACACAGGACTCGTTAGGATCTTAAAGAATATGGCCTGTTTTAAGAAATAGTTCTTTGAATGCCAATCGATAGTTATGTGTCCATCGATTTCGAAAATTCGAAATACTTAAGATGTGCCCTTTTTTCTGAAATAGCTCTAACTCGTGAGATTTTTTAAAGGAATCGAATTGCTTGCATGTATTATAGGGTCGTCTAAGTACGAATTTCCACCCAGTTATTAAAAGACCCAGATAAATTTCATTTAACTAACAGTTTTTACTTTTCAAAAATAATGTTACAAATGTGGTTTACGATTTTACGTATTGTTTTCTTACGGCTAGATCTTTACAATATGATAAATTATACGTATATTACGAGTACTCAACATCTCGGGGTATTTTTCTTCATTTTTTTTTTTCAATTTTGCATGGCAGTATTTTGGGTTGGGCAAATTACAAAACAAATTTAACATTCAGTCTTGCTTTCGTATAATTATAAAAGCAGATTAGTAACTAACAATTATTTTATGTAAATAATTTGACAAAATAATTTACAAATTACTGAGTAGACATTTCAAAAAATAAAAAACAAGCTTGTTTATAAACACACAATTTAACAATTTCTACAAATTTTCAATTGAAATTCTGATTGTCGCAGTTTAAATTATTGACCAAATTTTTTACCTTAAGCGTTAAGATTAATAAATAATACTAACTTAACATAAACATACAACTACAACTAACTAAACTAGTCTAATAAAACGACTCAATATGAGTCAGAGAAGGAACTTTTTGCAAGCTGGCTGTGCAAAATGTTTTCGTTGTCGTTATAACATTTCCATTTGGATTGCACATGGCAACAATGGCACTAGTTGGGAGAGGGGGCCTTCATCCTCATCCTCAGATCCTTTAGGCTAAAACTTCTCATCGTCGATGGTTGTGCGGCAATTGTTGAGCGCCGACTGACGTTTCAGGGTGCCCGTCTCGCAATCGTTGTAGGTCTTGGCCAGCACCTTGGGTGTGTTGTTGTGGTGCATGTTGTTGCGATTCAGCGTGCCACTGGCAATATTGCTGTTCTTCGCTGGCATACGGAAACTGGACTGACGCTTGGGACGTTGATCATAGTACTGCAAAAATTTAAGATGAAATTAGTTTGAGTTTGCAATCTAATGATCTCAGATCGGGGCACTTACGTCCTTGGTGGGCAGACTGGAATACTGATTGGGATACGTGTCGAAACTGGCCGTCGTTGTCGTCGTCTTATTGAGTGCCTCCTCGGCGCTCAGCAGGAAACGCCTTCGTGTAAAATGATATGTGGCCAAGCAACAAGCCACGGTGAACAATATTAACACACAGATGACAATCGGCAGAGTTGCGCTCGACGCACTTTGAGCATCTGTAATATGCAAGTTTCGGTGTTGAAATAGTGTTTTAATTTGATTAGCAACAATTAGCTCACCATCACATTCGCCTGGCACGCAGGCAGTCTTCTCGAACTCGGCGCCACGGCATTCCACAGACGTGGGCTGCTCCACTAAGCAACGGCGGTGACGCAGACGGATGCCATCACTTGAGCAAGATGACCATTCGCTCCAAGAGCTCCAGCCGAGAAAGTCTATAAACGGAAACATTTTTTAATACAACTTTGAACTGTGCAGAATGAAATGGAAAATATGAAAAGAGGCATCTAGAATCATCTAGTATTGAGTGCTGACTAAGAGATACCCTTTGCCCTTGAACTAACTGCTGAACAACATAATTAAGACGTACTTAAATATTTGGTTTAAAGATGACTCCTTCTACTTGTAATACACATTTAAGTAGTTGCAGTTTTTACAATATCTGATTTTACTTTTACTTGTTTGTGTTTGGGGCATTAGAATGATTTCAACCCACAATTACTATTCCCCACTTTGCTCATTCATAATTTATAAGGATTACCCACCTTCACATGGCACCATCTCGCACTTCTGCTCCTCGAGCGGCCGCCCCGAACAGAGTCTCTCATGTCCGCCCAGACATTTGCGAGTGCGCCTTCGCACTCCCAGGCCACAGGTGACCGAGCAACTGGACCACTCCGACCAGCAGCTCCACTCGTGGCCCAGCTGATGATCGATGCTGTTGTCCGTTGGTTGTTCGTCTGTGGGACATGGCTGCAGATTGCAGGCGCGACTCTTCGAGTTGCGGCCACGCAGACGCTGTTGTGTGCCACCGCCGCAGCTGACACTGCAGGGCGACCAGTCGGAGTCCGTGGAATCGGTGGCTTCGTTGTGCTCGCTGTGCCGCTGACAGCTGCCGTCCTGGTGACAGTTGCGCGTCTCCTCCTTGAGCTGGCCGATGCGCACTGAGCTGGGATCGGCGCTGGTGGCGCGACAAGTGAATCGATATCGTTTCTCCACACGCAGCTCGGTGCCGTTGCCCGGCGATGCCGTTAGCCAAGGTGTCCATGAGCTGTGCCTTTGCACCTCGGCGCAGCTTTGCATGTTGCAGTCCTCGTAGTCCAGCCGACAACCGGGGCAATCCAAGCCACCGTTAAGTGGCCGCGGATCGTCGCATTCCCTGCGACGCATGCGGAATCCACCGCCACACTGAGCGCTGCACTCGCTCCACTCACCCCACGGTCCCCAGCCTCCATCGATGGCCGTTGGCTTGGCCACCGGACAGGGCGGCAGATGGCTGCAATACATCTCGGCATGCTCGGGCCCCAGGCACATGCGTCCCCCATGCGCTGGTCGGGGATTGCCGCACGTGCGACGACGCGTCTTCACCGCAATGCCACAGGTCTGGGAGCAGGGCGACCAATCCGACCAGCCCGTCCAGCCGCCATGCAGGGTGCAGTTCGTCACCTGGGTGCTGATGCCCTCGCATGAGCTACCTCCATGTTGTGGCTGTGGATTATTGCAGTTGCGCTGCCGGCACAAACAATTGCTGTCGGGCTGCTCATGCTGCTCGCACTCGCTCCACGGCGACCAACTAGACCAGCCGCCATCGATGGGCGCATTGAGCACCGGACAGCTAAACTGCTCCGGTTGTAGCCACGGCTGCTGCACGGCCGGATCTAGTGGCGTACAGCGCTCAACCAGCTCATTCCAACCACAATAGGGATCCATGGCATTGAAGCAACTCGACTGGGAGACATGACGACTGCAACGCTGAGCGGGTATCTTTGTCAGAGCCAGATCCGTGCCCAGATACAGCGATTCGGTCACCTTCAGGTAGGACATGTGCAACAGGGCACTGCTGCCCGTATCATCTGCCTGCCAGATCTCCACCAGACACGTTTGCGTCTTCCCCTCCATGCCGTGCTTAACCGACAGCTTCTTGATGTGATTGCTACTGCTGGAGACGTAGAGCACGTGCAGCTGCTCGTTCCTCGTCTGCACAATGTCGAGAGCAATGTGCTTGAAACGCTCCAGCCGTGAATGGTAGAGCGGCTGGGCACCAATCGGTTGGATGGCCTGATCCATTAGCTGGTAACGTGAACTCTCCAGCAAATGGCCAAAAGCTGTTGCTCCACTGGCACACTGGAACTGGCTGCGCTGTGGCGTATTCACTGTTTTCCACGCGGCATCCGAGTGCTCCTGATGCTTGAAGGCGCCCTCAAAAGCCGCATTTATCGAGCTCAAATTGTAGGCGCAAACGGCTGAGCCAAATATGCTGGAGCTGCGGGAGAATAGAAGAAGTTAGTGTGATCATTGAACTGAGATCAGGCAAATAACTCACCCAGATGTGCTGAATGTGGCATAGAGCACATGCTCCGATTCAGCATACGTCATGCCCTGGATCTCATCAAAGTAATACGGATAATCACCGGGCAGGGAGCAATTCAAGCGCGCCTTTAAGAACGATGTCCAATTGTCGCGCAGCACCTGATCCCCGCCAGCATCGTTCTTGCAGACGCGCGCAATGCGCGAGTAGATTGCCTAAACAGATTGGAGAGGAGTCGAGAGATCAATTAGGAGAATGGTCGACCAATCCACAACTCACCTTGCCACAGCTCATGTGTTCCGCAGCGGATTCACGGAGCAGAAAGTAGACGAAATTGCCCGCCTCAAAGCTGCCCACAAACTGAGCTCCATTTAGCCAGTTGTTGTTGTATTGCTTGGTGCGCAGGAAACGCTTGCGATTCATCTGAAAATGAACAGCGTTCATTAATAAAGTAAGGGATTAAAGCTAGAAACATGCATACGATTTAATGTAAGCAGCTTACAGTTAGATTAAGTGTGGACAAGTTAATTTAATTGCTTGAGCGGCAAGTAAGCCTCTACGGATTCCTTTCCTTTCACTCAAATCAGGAAGTTTGCGAAAACAATGCGAGAAGAATTCGTAAAGCTGAAGAGCCCAAAACTGAACAGCATCGAGAGGAATACCTAACGTAATCTGACACCTGATGAAAAATACCTTACTTAACTGAATAACAATAATCCGTGCTAATCTTGGGATGTTGTAAATAACTTAACACTGTTTATATTAGACTAGATATATTAGCTATACTGACCCCATTGGACTGGACGGGTGCGCGAATGATGGCCACATCGCTGCCGGAGAAGTCCGTGGCTGTGCCGGCAAACATGTTGCCATTGGAGGGCAGAAGACTGGTGCTGTTGGCCTGCGGATGAAAGGGGCACTTGACCACACCGTCATCAAACTGGGTGACGTTCAGATTTTCCATCTGCAACAACAACAAAACGAGGCATTTTCAGTTTTTCAGTTGGTTTTTTTTCTAATTCCATTTGAAGTTGTCGAGTTGAGGAGACGACGACCACTCACCTGGCGCCACGAGCAGCTTGGCTGGAAGGCGTTCGTCCCACACGCGTACAATTGGTTCTCACCGTAGCTGTGGAGCACGCGCACATAGTTGCGACACCAGCGCTCCGACTGGCCTTTCTGCTGGCACAAGAGCACGTTCCCCGGCGTCGCCTCCCATTTGGCCTGCTCCAGTGGCTCCAAGTCGAAAGACATGCGGTACAAGGTGTCTCTGCAAAAGAATCGAATCAAAATGTTTGTATTTATGTATATATATATATATATATAGCTAAATTCGGCCCACAACTCTGCTTGCACACACAAATAAGGCAAATAGCCTGAAACCAGCACCTCGCCTCGCTGCTGTGCCCAGTCATAACTTCGAACTGGTTGCCTGCCACGCTACTGGTGCATTGAACTGCAAGGCAAACTGGTAACGATACCTGCCCAGGCACAGTGGTACATGACACGCTGACATTTGGATATGGATTGGATGCTTGTAGTCTTGTAGGCGTCTCTTTTAGGTGGGCACTAAACAAGATGAGCGAATTAAAATTATGGCTTTAGTGCCACATTATACAACGATGGCGAAGCAGAAGAAGTTCAATTAAGATAAGCAGCCGTCATGTGTTGCAACACCAATAAAAGTCTGCTTAAAATATGGTTTGACACTGCAAAGATACGATGGCACATCATATAGATTGTACAAAGATAATTCATCTATAACAAAATTTGGGTTACAATTGTAAAACTGAGTTGACTTGCCTTTTTTCTATAAAAATACTTTAGGCTCTTGCTGACCACTGTGCAGAGTGCAGTGCCAGCGCACAATGCTTGCACACATTTGGCGCAACAAATACGAAGATCAATAGATCAAGTGCATACGAATGCGCCAATCGATAGATAGATAGATAGATAGATAGTTAGTTAGATGGAAAAATGGTTACATCTCACACTGGACAGAATTCGCTGGAAGGAATGCCGCCGCCCAGACGTCGCCATCAGACGACGCCAGCTGCCCACAGTTCCACATTGGACAAGTCACTACTCGCGACAACATTTGGTGTAGAAAAATGCGTTGAGCAATGTGGGAATACAGACTGGACTGGACCGGACCGGACTGGACTGGACCGGAGTCTGAAACATAATTTACGAGCACACTCAGAGAAAAGTCCAAGTTTAGAAACTTGCCACACCTTTGCCGCCAAGGGCAACTCACATTATTATTATTATTATTATTTCCTTTTAAATCTGATGGTTTGCATTTTTACTTTATAGAAATTAAATTCTTATTAAAAATAATTTGTAAAAAATAAAATATTTGGGATTGTCAATTTAAGACAAGCGTTTCTTATATTTTGAAATTATTTCTAAAAGCAAGAAAAACTTAATAGTTTTCAGGAGGATTCTTTTCTGAGTGTACAAGTGGCAGAACACCAAATCAATCAGTCAGTCAAAAGCAGCTGCCACGCGTGGCGCGTGGCACTGTGGCCACCCGAGTAACCTGAGCTGCCTGAGCCAACCGATAGCCGCTGCGTGAGTTGTGCAACTTCTGTGGTACGTGCTGATGGTGTTGGTATAATAAACGGGCCCAGTTTTGGCAACAAAATCGACAGACGCCCTTCCCCAAAAGCAGCTGTCAGCGACTTAAAAGGTGCGTGTGTGTTTCTTGTGTGTGTTTGACGTGTGTCGTTAACGATAACATCGCGTTGGCAGATGCAAAAATGTTTTCAGTTTTGTCATTATTTAAATGAAGCTATTAAATTCAATATTTTCAGGCCGTACAAAATGGCACAGTTTATGGCTAGAATGGCCATTTAATTGACTTTAAAGCTGCAGTTAGCATAATAATTAAACAATATTCAGCTGTGGTAATAAAAACTACTATAAAATTACATAGGGGAAATGGATTGCATTCGAGGTGCAAAGGGTGATCTTTAAATTTACATAAATGCAGGCAATAATCTTTTTTCTTAATTGGCCAATTTGCATAAGATTATAAAGTTGCATACTAAACATAAAAAATAAATTGTCTTTGACTTTTTAAAGATCACTAAATTTATATAACTGTTAAGATTGAACGATTATTATTATTACTTGCTTTAGCTATAAATTAACTGAATTCACTATACTATAATAAAGTACACTAAACTTTATACTATACTCAAGATAATTTTGAAAGATTTACCAATCTACGTAATCATTAATTTTTTACTACAGATTCTTGGCCAAAGTTAAGATAAGAATTTCTATTTCTTTTCTTTGAGATATAGACTCTTAATGCCGACTATTAGCCTTATCTAGGGCGACCAATTCAAAGTAAAATCCTCCTAAGCTCCAAAATCCTCCTCTGCCCAGAGTTCAAAATGTATTTGATCAGCCTTTAGCCATTGTTGGTGGAGTGCTGGGCAAAGATTAAGTGAGCTTCCTGCAAGTGACGTGACAAATAACGCGTAGCAAAATTATTGAACGTGCACACAAAAGCAAATAAAAATTCTCTGGCTGAGATAGCTAGACTAAGAGATACCCTGCACTTTTAAATACATAGTAATAATCACTTGATCTGCCTGGTCTCCGATATCGACTTATTCCTACAATCATGCTGAACATATATATATATATATTTCTGCCTGTTTTATACATTTGCACAACTTCAACACACCCATTTTCCCATTCTTATTGGTTTTAGGTTATACAAAAAGGGGGCGTATTAATTGTGGGCAGACTAAACGGCTGTAAAATTCAATTACTGCTGATTGTGTACAGTTGTTGCCATTTGTTTTGGCCTTAACGGTGTGCGATTACATTTTGTGTGCCGTTAAAAATTGAAAACAAAACAATAATAAAAACAAATATTAATAATAATGCTTCCCACAGCTTTTGCTATTAAATGCTGATTTTCGTAGAATACTTAGCGATATACGTGAAGAGCTATTTAAACTAACTGAAACCTATTTTTGTAAATAACTCGTTTGTTGGATTCAGTTTCCCATTTGCTTGGCAGCAGCGATAAGCAACGGCCTTGCAAATTAGCATTGCCTTCAGCGCAGCCCCCCCTGCCATGCCCCATTGCCCAACCTTCAACCACCTCCAACCCACTCCAGCACTCCCATTTTTTTTATCGTTCACCTCAGCAACGAGCTGATGAATTCCATTTTGAGGTGTGAAAAGTCGATACACATGTTCTTCCCAGTTGCTGCTTGCCTCGAGTTCTGTTTCTTTTGCTGTTTTCTTATTTGTTCTTGTTATGTGTTGCTGTTGCTGTTGCACTTGATGTGGTTGTTGTGGTTGTTGTTGTTGCATTTTGCTTTTAGCAAATATTTGCTTACTGTTTTGTCAGTTGTTTAATTTGTATTTGCCATAACTCATTTTGCCCCATCGTTATCACGCTCTGCCTCCCTCTACCCTCTACTTTTCCCTCTCTCTCTCTCTCTGCCACTGCGTGACGCGTGCATGTAGATACAAGCAAGTGTTGGCGGGGGGAGTTAAGGGGGTTCATTTTGCGCATCGTTTCGTATCTTTTATTTGTAGCCGTTTTGTAGAACAGAATTTACTTCGTAGTTTTTTCACGCATGCCTACAACTTATTACTATTCAATATCAGGCTAAGCCAAGCCCAAATGGGATAGATAAAGCAATAATTGAACCAACCTCTTATAACCATTATGCCAATTAACCATTTTTACACCTTTAATTTACATTACATTTAATTTACTTACATTTTTCATTACTTATGAATAAAACATTATATGTACAGAGTTTTTTTTAACAATTTGCTTAACTACTTTAGACAAGTAAATTCCGACATTTGCTTTATACATAATAAATTCTTTAACAAGTTTTATCAATAAGAATAATATTATTATACTTATTTATTTGTTTTATTTATTTAATGTGTACTAAAAATGTGATTCATTTTTTTATTTAATTTATTTATTTAATTATTATATTTTTATAAACAATTATATATTTACTAAATAATTAAGGTAATTAAGTTACAAAAAGATAAACAATTGCAATATATATTTGCACAACATAAATATAAAATGATCTGCATACTTAATGATCTCAAAAATAGATCCTCAATGCTCTATGGATCAAAATGCGAATGGATCAAAATGTTTGACTCATTTGCAGATGCGTCGCGTGGCAGCAACAACAAATGTGTTACTTGCTGCTATCTGTATCTGTATCTGTAGCATGTAACTGTAACTGTTCGTCAGTGTATCTGTATGTATCTGCATCTGTATCTGTATCTGTATCTGCAGCTGTATCTGTAGCTGTAGTTGTATTTGTGCGGATATTTCACTTTTGCGCATTTGCATTCACAATTCTCGCACACCTTGCGTCGTGGCTAAGTTTTGAGCGACAAGCGCGCGACAAGATAACAAAAAGGCCTTTTTGTAAGCAGACGGAGATGGAGCCGGGGATGGAGACGGGATTGAAGCTGGAAGCTGGAAGCCTGTATGTAACATGTGGAGCTATTAAAGCCATGTGTGGTGGCTTGGACTGTGGCGCCTGTCTGTCCAGCTGCGGGTTGTGTGACTGTGGCAATTGCCACAGTGCGCCGAATCAAGTGGACGGCAATCCGAGTTTGGCGACGAGCGTGGGCGTTTGTCTAGCGCCTGCTTGGCGACAGCTCGCAGCGAATCGACGGACAGCCGGACTGGCAGACTGGCGGACTGGCGGACTGACGGACTGAGGGGTTGACGGGCTGGCTTGTAATTAAAAGCTGCCCGTTGCTCCGTTAAGATCTTGTAAAAAACTGTTCAGTTTGCAGTTTGCAGTTTGCAGCTTGCAGCGCTTGCCATGCATTTCTGTATTGGGGCACTGCCTACGCCAGCCGAGCGCATTCCTTCCGTGCTCTCAATATCAAAAACTAATCCACCATTTTGGCTTTTTTTTTTCTCGCTAGCATACAAAATATGCAAAACGCCCCCCTTTGAAATTGTGCTGGGCTATATGTGTATTTTACTTTACATGCTTTTGCTTTGCTTTGATTAATTTTGATTTCAATTTCGCTGTTGCTGCCACTGCTGCTGCTGCTGCTGTGGCAGCCCAGTAGCTGCCTTAACTGACTGCCAACCACTTAACGTCTGTCAAATGAAGTTTGTATTTCGGCTCCAAATTGCCACACAGAGCCAAAAATAAAATACAAAATAAAAAAATATTGCTGAATTTGCCATATTTTTTCTCAACGAAGATTCGACATCAGATTGTTGACTATGGTTTACACGATAGTTGAGTGGGTTTATCTTTGTTTTGAAGACTGTAGTGAAACATAGCATTTAAAACAAAAGAACAATGGATTTAGATTTAGGTATGCTTAGACAAGTTTTAAGTTTCCTCGAGTTTACTTTTACTTCCACGAATAAAGTAAGAATTCTTTAGTTTATTTCATACCATCTACAGAACATTATATTCACTCTAATCCTAAGCAATTTTTATGAGCAGTTTCTATCATAATCATTTTAATAAATCCTGAAACTTCCTGCTGAAAAACAATTAAAAAAAACCCTTAGCCTAAAAACATCACCATTCAAAACTGTACAGTTTAAATAGAGTTGAAACCTTTCCCAAGTTTACTGCAGCTGATTGTTTTGTAATTTTTTAAAATGGAAACTTTTGAACTGTGTTTCCTTGTTTGTACAGCGTTTAAGTTAAGGTAATGTTCAGTCATATGTGTAAATACATTTCAAATGCTTCCCAGTTGTTGCAGTTGCCGTTGCAGTTGCACGGTCCATTTGAGTCATGCCACAAGCAGCGACTCAAGACCCCTGCAAAAATGAAATGCGGCAAAAAAAAAACTAAACCTTTATAAAAGGTTGCTGGCAGAAAGAAGAAGAGCGAGGGAGAGGGGAGAGAGAAAAAAAACACGAGCAACGAAAACAAAACGGTATATTATTTTAATGCAGTCTATATCAAATTTCGGGGCACAAGACCCCAAATGTGTGTAGTACGAGTAGATGCAAACAAATTACACGACGTGCAAGTGACAGGCAGTTGGCTCGTCGGCTCGTCGACTCGCCGACTCGTCGCCTCGTCACTCGTCAGTCGTTATGGGAGCCCCGTTGGAATAGTTTTCGAGCTCGTCCCCGACTTGTCGCAATATAGAAAGCCGCTCGTAATCCGAGCCTGCAGTCGTGTCAAGTGTGTTTGTGTCTGTGACTGTGTGACAGACAAGGAGCAATAGCTTCGTACTACTTCATACCTTGTCCCTTACCCCTCGCCAGTGTCCCTTCATTCGCCCATGAGTCTACAATTACCCAACTACCCAATTTATGAGCCGACCACAAAATCAGACAACAACAGCTAAAGTCAAAATAATATTGCCACAATTATATTGTGGTTTCTGATTAGAAAAAATAAAAAAAAGGTTCACATAGTGGTTTTGTTTCTTTGGTGGTTGTGCAATAGCAAGCCAAGAAATGGCTAAGGGAAGGTCAACAGTGGCGGCTTATCAAACGAAACGCGAGCGGTACAAAATCTAGACTACTAATTAAATACGGATTAGGCCACTTCTGGAGTGAAAACCCATTGCTTAGAAGTGTTGACTAGCTGCCGGGGTTGCTATTTAAAATATCTAAAAAAAATGCTGCAACGCTGAAAGAAGGCGGCATCATTAGTTGCTCTACGAAGGATTAATAGGAAATACATTGTTAGGAACTAGTCAGGAATGAGGTTGTTACTCAACAATTTCGATATCTAAAGCATAGTTAAATACAACTGAATTCGGACCACAAAGCGGACCAAAGTCTAGTTACTAACCGCTTATCATTGCTATCAGAAAAGACTAGAAAATACACCTTATAATAAATTCAACAATATTAAATATATACAGAAATGCCCACGCCGCTATCTAGGCTAGTAATTATAGTTATCTATACGCCTACTTGCCTGACTGCTGACAAGTAAGTAGACCAACTGCCCTTCGTTATCATTTACTTGCCACACGTGGGAGCATAGTAAAAAGCATATCGTAGTATTTGTGAGAATCAAGGCATAAAAAATAAGAACAGAAGAACAGAAAAACAGAAAAACAGAAGAGAAGAAGAGTGGAAAACATAAAATAAACCTGCGACAAATGATTGACAAACGAAAGCGAAACAGAGACGAAGACGAAGACGAGAACGAAGACATTTTGATAAATGAGCCAATTGGTATCTTTGTGCCTCAACGCAAGGGGTTAAGATCTGTATAGACAGAAAAGGGACAACACGGTCTTTACTTCACTATTTCTCTTCTTATCTATCTCTCGGCGAGCAAATGAAAATCAAACTTTGACTACTGCCTGAGAATACACAGACAGACAGACAGACAGACAGACAGAGTGCCATCAAATTGCTTAACAAATAGCAAGTGGAGAACTTGTATCTCTATGAGTAGTATGTACCTGAGCCTGGACAGGCCACTTGTTGTTGCTCGTAGTACTCGGTTCTGTTTGGTTTTCTAGTTGTTCTAGTTGCCACATGCGTTCTTCTTCTTCTTCTTCTTCAGTGTTTACTGTCGCTTTGCGTTGTGAGATAAACTTGCTGATAAGCTGCAAAGATTTGGGTAAACCGGTTGCGTGCACTTTCGATTTTAATAAGAGATTCCCCCAGACGCTGGCAATGCCAAAACAATTATCAGCTTTACGCAATAATCTGTTCCACTTAAACAAAGAGATAATGCACATTTGGCTTGGGTTTGGTTGTTTTTTGTACCTATTATTTTGACAAATTTAATTGTTTCCGTTTACTTGTGTTCTCTCGTATCTTATTTGGCGCAGAGTCATTATGATTGCGGGTTTGTGACTCAATTTCGTGGAAAACTTAATCTACGAAACGCATAAAAACAACATTTAAACACTTACCTAGCACCAACAATAACCTGCTTTCTGGCCACATCGTATAGCAATTCGGAATACCAAGTCGTTTCGGGATCGTAATATCGTTTGGCTGTTGACATTAGGTCTGTAAAAAATCAATAATATTAATATATATTGTACTTTGTTTAATAATTCATATCTTAAACATATATTTTCTTATTCCATGACATAACTCTCAAAAAGTAAGAAAATAAATGAGTATTTAAATTGCAGAATCGCAGTGTCAACAAAACTGATTGCTCAGTTTGCGCATCGGGGCGTACTCCAAGATGCATTCCACTTCCATGCAAAAAAAAAAATCAGAAAAAAAAGAAATGAACTGGCAAATATTTAAACAATAAACGCTAAGCGTTTTCAGATAAAGAGCTTCACGAGATATATGCATGCATATAGGGGTGCTAAGATTCCCAAGAATTGACATCTCTGTTGACACTGCTTAACGGAGAGAGAGTTTTACAACCTGTTCGTCCTCCTCTGCCGCTTCTACTTCTTCTCCTTCTTCTGCTTCTGCTTCTGCTTCTTTATCTGCTTGCGCAATAAAGTAAGTACTTAAAAGTTGTGCTGACTACTTTAGAGAAGTGACAGGCATCAACACAATTTCCCCACATGCTCATCATTCGAGTGTTTTTTTTTTGTTTTTAGCTTGATTGATTGCCCCACAATTGACACACTTTGTGTAATGGAATGTAATTTTTGATAATCCACACAACTCACCTTGATATGATATGTAACGCGAATCAGTTCCCAACAATTCATAGTTCGACTGCACCTGATAGTTGCTCATTAGTGCCCCACTCGTCGTCCCCGGGCTTTGTAGGGTTAAGCATAGAAATAGTAGTAGTAGTAGTAGTTGCCACAGCTGGTGCTGCATTTTGTCATATTTTAGAATTAACATGCTGCAATAAAAAAATAAACCAAACAAATGCAAATTTATTAGGAATTTCTCAAAAGATCATTGATTAGCATAAATTCCGTATCCGCTGACGTCAATGAATAATCTTAAGTTTGATCTGGAATAACCAGTGGCAGGTGTTCTAATACTACAATAAATATATGCAGAATCTGTTACTTAAAATATTAGTTATTTAAAATGATTATTTTAAATATTACAGACAAATGATTCAAATTATATAATACATGTGGGCTAAGTGAAAGCGTAACTTGTAAGCTTAAACATGAACACATTTCCACATACTTAGGTGCCCTGAGGCATGTATAACTAACTGATTAAGAGTGATCATTTAAGAGCAGTTCGAATCCACTTACTTTATATATTTGTCACGTAGCGCTTGAAGCAGATTATGTTTGCTTTTCCATTCAACTTTAGATTGCAAAAGAGTTGTGTGCGTATATAAGCAAGTATTTATACGCTTGATAGCATACAGATGAGATTAAAATTGCATTCAGCACTGTCACAGTCACACACAAATTCACAATTCATTTAGATCAATTGATTTTTTCCAATATTCAATTGGTTTATATTTTCACACATAAAAACAGAAATTCTCTTCATTTGGAAGTAGGTAAAATAAATGCGACACTGCGAACGGTGAACGAAGAGTTCTTTTTTATTTCGCTCAAGAGAGGAAGTTGCGCATGTCTCGCGAAAACGAAGTTAACCGCGCAGCGAGTCAAAACAAACTGAGCTACGAACCTGCGACAGCAACAGAAGACACCACAACCGAAAGAGCGTGGAAACAACAAAACGGGCAAAGAGCGAACGAGCAACGCACGAATCAACGAATAAACGAACGAACAGACGTACAAACGAACGTAGCAAAGCAAAGGGGCCAAAACGCCGACGCGATACTGCGGCGGCCCACGAAGATGTTTGTTTTTGAGAACCGGCTTCGGCCTGCGCAGAGAGCTCAACGGCATCAACAACAACAACTAAAGATTCGGCCTGCGGGGCCAAAGCATCGGTTTTTTTTTGTATGGGCGCGGTTGCAGTGGCAGCAGCAGGGCAGGGCACTCATATATCATGCGACAACGACAAGCAGAACTACTACGACTATGACTACTACTACTGATACACGGGTCGAATCATTGGGATCGTCGGCTGCTGATTGACAGACGACGCGACGTCGGACGAGCGACGACCGATGAACGACGTGCCCAGAACAAGGACTCAAGCCAAACAAAACGTCGTTTGCTGAGTCTGCTGTTTTCTGTTCTCTGTTTTAATGTGCTGGTAGCAGCAACCAACAAATTGACATTAATGTCGCGACGCAAAGGGGCACGTGATATTCTATCAGGCGACGGACCGATCTTATCTCAAACTCATATTCATCGAGACTATCATGCTTTTCTTTTGAATGACATATCTGATTATTCTCAGTTGTTAATTAGTTTAAACTCTAATTTACAGACTCTGATTAACTTGCTAGCAGAAAGTTTTACTTTGAGAAAGAAAGTGTTCTGATAGAGGAAAAGCATATTTATCCAATAATTTATATGTGGAAGTGAATATTAAAGCATGTAGTCACGATTTGTGACTTTCTCTCTTTGAAAAAATAAAAGAATTTTCGACAAGCTAATGCCAAACAAGTTTATATAATTTACTCCGTTCACGATCAGTTAAAAATGTGCTTAATTCGTTTTCTATAACAATCAATATATTCAACTTATTATCAGACATTATCATAAACACTCAAGGTTTATTGAGAAATACAATAAATTTAGGGGCTTTAGTATGTGATGCCAGTGTTTTCTTTATGATCTCAGTAATAAGATCGGGACCGCCCACTAAAGTTCTAAAATCAGTAAGATCAACACAGTCCTGTTGCCAATTGCAAACACAGCCTTGACTCTGCTTGAGAGGAGTCGCGTGAAAAAATACACCTGGTGTTGACTCGAAAGTCAAAAACACAAAAAAAATAAATACAATGCAGCGAACACGATCTCTGAGGATCGGATGTGTTTGTTTATGCCACAGCATGCACTGAATCAGAGAATCAGAGAACTAACTAGTCTAGCGTCCAGTGTGGGTAGGCAATCGAAATAACATGTAGCAGCGACAACAATATATACGACCGACTCTACCTAGAGAGCCCATGTCTGAGAGTGGTTTTTGGTTTTTTTTTTTTTGTTATAGAGACGATGGCTAAATATGCTAATTGCGGTAGCACCAACTCAACAGACGACGCCTTGTAGCATTTTCGGGCACTGGTAATTTACAGCTTAACTTCGGCTAGGCAATTGTAATGCAAATGCCCAGAAGCGAAAGACCCTCAGGTAGACATGGACATGGACGTCATTTCCTTTGTCTTACGAACCTTTCGACTAACGTCGCACGTGAGTCACGGAAGTGACCATAAATTTGATGTGCCTTTATCACTCCAGCAGAGACACCGAGAGAAAGAGAGAGAGAGAGAGATAGACAGAGAGAGAGAGAGAGAGAGAGAGATGCAAATCCTGCCCCTTTCGAACATTTTATGGTTTTCACCTGTCAATTCTGTTATAAATTCATATAGGGTTTCTTTCATTTTTTTGGGGGGCGAAAGTGATTGCTCAGTTGGGTCGTTTGTCAATATTTGCCTTTAACTTTGCCGGAGTTGTTCAGAAGTTTAACCCTAATGAATTATTACCCTTAGTTTGAATAGATAACAAAATAATCTGATAGCAGTTAGAGTCAAAGCATAGACAAAGTTATTCTTTGAATTCACATATCATTGTACAATAGAACATTGCATTCATTTATCCAGCTGTTTAAATCATCATAAAAAGAACGCTAAACTAATGTTTAAATAGAAATTGTTTAGTACATATATTCATAAAAAACAAAATCCAATTTCGTTGCCGCCATTTAGGTCATACTTTCATAGCAGGGGAATCTATCGTAATTTCCCATTCTAAATGAATTTGTTTGTTATGGCAAACGATAAATATATCATTTTCACCATTAAACTCGCAACAGGAACTCCACTTCATTTAGACCATAGTCATAATCTTAAACTTTCGAAATAAGTAAAAATTAGTTTGCATGCCAGGCACAAAGAGACTCAAACACACACAGTGCGCTGTAAAATTTAATGGCCAGCCAATAAATTCACAATTATTGAAACGATCCAGTTGGAATAGTGCAGATTTTATTCAATCAACGCAGTTGGTCGATTTTGCATGTAAATGAAAAAGACCTCTAAAAAGAATTGAAGCCAATGAAGGAAGTACTACAAGATGATGTACGACAATGAGTGTGTGGAGACCACTTGGCTGAATGCACATCGATTGGGGACAATACAAAAGCATTCATTTAAAAAAAACACATAAAAATATATATGCAGCTATTAAACATGACAGACTGAGAAAATACTCTGTAGCTATGACTAAGATTTATTGAAAAATGCTCATATAATAAAGAAAAATATAAAGTTTCAAAAATTCGTTTCTTTTTGTTTAATGTTAAAATTTCTTCACAGCATTAACACTAAAAAAGAATATATACTTCAATAATGGTAAATTGGCACGCATTTATTCACTTTTATGCTACCCAACGCACTCATTTTTGTGAGCATAGGGTATCGAACGTATCAAAACAATATGTAAACAATCATAAATTTGAAGCTTGTTGGAGACAATTAAAAGGCTTTGGTGTCGCATAGTTAATTTCCCAACAATTAAAAATACAAAATTATGCTAAGCAACTTTCCAACAAACAAAAAAAAAACATTCATAAAACTACATTAACTATAATGCGATAAAAAATACAAATAAATGTCAATCGAAAAAAATGCTAAAGCCAAAACCACAAATATGTGCTCAATAATTGTCAGAGACGACTAAAGTCTGGGGTCTGGCGACGCGTGTTGTTTCCAAATCTACAAATACATAATTGAAAGTTAAGGCAGCTGCCTTAATTTATCAATACACAAAATATGAGGCGACGACCCGCCTTATGCTCAGGTTCAAGCTCAGACTGTCAACTCGTAAATTTATGACACCATTTAGAGGCGATAAGCGCCGAAAAGGAATTATAAAAATGATTCCAAATCTACGCGGCACTCGTAGAGCGAAGCGTGTTTGGCAACTAATTTAAATTGGAATTACATATTTCATTTGAATATTGTGTAAATATATTTCAAATCAAGTGTCGAAAATATTAATTCGGAAACGAGCCAATGAGTGAGCAAAATGATCAAACAACTCATAACTTCTAAAGCGCGTTCATTAATTTGTGCATTTTGTTAAACTATATGTAAATATATACAATGGTTAATAAATACTTGCATATTGCTCTGCTCAAACTTTATCGCGATCCATATATAGATAAAAAGCTACAAATAGTGACGATAGACCGGTTATTTCAAAGTGAACTAGTCAATCGAATAGATTTTCTTACTGGGTTTTGTTAATTAAATTGCCTAAATAGTTTAAATTTCAGGCACATTTTTTTTTTAAATATGTTTTTATCGAAACCGATTGAATTTCAAACATTTTCTTAACAACCAGTTACTGAAACCGATTTTAATAATCCACAACGGAGTCCAATACCCAACAATTTGCCTTAGCCTTTTCTCTTTACGTTCCGGAAATGGAACAAGAATACGGTTCGCTTTGACATAGTTTGTACTTTGTGTATGTTCTGCGACCTTTCTTACATTTCTTACTTTCCCACTGATGCCAATTTGTCTAGCTTTTGGCTTCTCTCTTCATAAGACTCTCCCTAGTATTTTTCTATAATCCCCTATGCCCCAGATCCCAGACTTGTTGCAGTAAATCAGATCTTACTCTCACTTTGCTGTAAAATACTTAGCACTGTCCCGTATAATCTATTTGGCAGCCTCGCCTACGTTCCCCCATAATGACCAAGAAACAAAAAAAGAAAAAGAGATTTACATATAAATAGCTTTACGATGATTTCATTTAAATGACGGTTTATTATAGTTAAAGTAATTTATCAATATTTTTCGTTTGTTATTTATTTAATGCGCTCTGTGCCAATGACATAAATAAGTTTTAACAACTCCTACTGTAATGGAAATAAATGGACCGTGATTGAATTTTATGCTAATGTTACGCATTGAATATGTATTTTATGAAACAACAACACCATCAAAATATTGATCTTTTACAATTCCACCTGCTGTGTCCCTAATGATGTCAGTTCAAAAACAAAATTAAATATTCCTCACACGTCGCACACCAAAAACACTTTAAAATCCAAATCGAAACTGGCACTGAATTCGCACAAAATCTGTTACAAGCTTCAATACACATAGTACGCACATACAAAAACAAAAATATAAAATTTAGAGCGCTGTCTGCCATACTTGGAGCTAACTCAATTTACAACTTTTGCTCGCAAAGTTTTTGATTACGTTTTGAATTTGAGGCGATTTGTTGGAAACGTTCTTTATTTAGACAGTTTAATGAGTGCCTGACTCTGTCTCTGGCTCTGGTGTCATTTCATGCTTTTCAGTTGTCAAATTAAAGGCTACGCAATGATCGTATGCTATGTCTCTACTACACTCCGAAAAAAATCGATCTGAAAAGTATAATTTCTAGTACGAAAAAATTCTTTAAATTATAAATATTTATTTTAATTTTTAATTAATTTAAATCGAAATAATATTGAAATTTTTCAAATTAAATGATATGAATTCATAAACTATCTAAAATCTATCTATATTAAAATACTAATGTTTAATAGTAACCAAAGCTATTCGAAGAGTTCTACATCCTGCAAATAAGTCATATTTTATCTACATTTAAGAAAAATATACCAAAGCTTCCAAGGCTTCTAAGGCCTTGGGAAAACCGATTTTTTTTCTGAGTGTACAACAAACGACTGCAAAATGTCGCGTCGTCTTAAGCCCTGAGCAGAGAAGTGTCCCATAAATTATGACGAGCACTGTGCAAATTAGATACATTAAATTTGACATGATCAAGTGCGAAAATTTAGCAGGCCTGTTGACGTCTACTTTGATATGGTTATTAAAGTCTATATAAGGAATGAGGTCTTGGCTTTAATGAAAACAGACTGAAGTCATTCATAGAATTATGTATTCATGTTAATCCTCATCCATTCAAAAGTTTTGAGAGTATATTTCAATTTTGTACAATTTATGAAAGCAGTCATCAAATTGCCATAAGTATTATATTAATTTTGTAATTAACAAAATTGTTATCACCAATAAAGAGTACAGTGCTCTTCTTGGCTTTTTATTACACTTGGCATACGACCAACTGGTCGAGCTAGTTGCAATAACCATAACACTTTTATTTGTAGGTATAAAACAAGTTCCTGTTATTTTTACCGAATTGCCAAAGAAATAAAAACGAAAACAAAACATGTTGCGGACCACACACAAAGTAAGTTTAGGATATTGTGATTGTTATGGTTAGAAGTGAAATTTTGTAGAGTCATAAAGGTAAATAGAAACTTTTGTATGGTTAATTCTTGTAAAAATACAATCGACTGTAATTACAACCAATTGAGGTTGAGGATGTAAATGTAATAGGTATAAATATATGAACATATTATACCAAACCAAATTTGGTCAGAAACATGGCCAAATTCGGAATGGTATTTCGTGCGGGGTGTGTTCCTCATTTGGTCTAATCCAGAAGCCAACAAAGTTCCATTAAGATACCGAATTTACATAAATTTCAATTGACGCGCCTACCTTGCCATGTTTTTTTTTTTTATTTTTGTATTCTTTATTGTATTTTTGTATTTTGTTTTATTTGTTGGCAACTCGCTTAATGTCTTCATTTCAAGTTAATTTTCACTCGTGGGTGTTGCGGCTCACACAATTTATGGGCGACAGTGAAAGCCATAGAAATATGAGGCACACCAAATGGCCAGGCCTTATAAATCAACTTGAATGTCCCATGGAACGCACCCTTTTTCGGCTATTGTTGCTGTTGTTCGTTGTACATTGCTGTTGCCCAAAAGAAAAGGATTAAATGTTCGTAAGTGACCCCAGCAACAATTGTGAGCAATCACATGAGTGTTTGTGTGGTCTTCCACATAAAATACTACACATATGAACCATATGAACCTTCCAAAAGGAATGCATTTTAATTGAGCTGCGAAAGTTAACCAAACAATTGGAAATATTTTCTGTGTATATAAAAGTTACAAATGAAATCGGATATCATCATGTATATAATATGCAAAGGCATTTCTCATCAAATATTATACATATGCAAAAGCATTTTAAATCTTTAAATTTGGAAAAAAAAAGAGTTAATCAAGAAAGATTTTTAATTAGCGTACATTGTTTTATGCAACCCAACCCGCTGTTATTTCGCTTTTATGTATCTCATGCAAGTTTATATCATTGGGAGAGGTAAAATAATTATCAATACTACATTTAATGTTGGAAACACGATTCCAGCTCTAAAGTCAAGTTAAAATGTATCCCCAAGGAGTCTTTAAGGAATGAGCCAAAACTTTGTCAAATCTAAGCCACTTTTGAAAAATCAGATCTTTTTGATCATATTACGACCTCTAGATTAAGACTACATGCAAAGTTGGAATCGATTCCGGCTCCGAATTCAATTGGACCCCCAAAAAATGATTTTAGGGATGGGTTAAATTTGGCAAAGCCATAACTTTGTCCAAGCTAAACCGATGAAAACCCAGAATTTTTTAATAATGTTTCGACCTTTATATTAAGACAACATTCAAAGTTGTTAACTCGAGGGTGTGACAGCATAGCAAACATTGGACAAAACCAATATACTCTTATATCTTCGGTATCAGAGTATAGAAATATATGTTTAGCCATTTAGCACTTTGACAAAAGCCAACAACAAAAGGCCATTAAGTAAATTTACATAAATCAAAATTATGTTAGCAACTACACACAGACAATGCAAATCAAGCAACGGAAAGGCATTGAATCTAAAACAATTCAAGAGTATTGTCGCAGCCATTTGTAGAATATTGTGTTTAAATAGCCAAATCGTTAGATTGGCGCGAGATTTCCGAAGAATCTGAGTAACCAAAGGTGTTGATAATTTATTATTATTATTAGCATTGGCATTGTTCACTTCCTTTGTTTGTGTATCTGCTGTTGATCGGTTAGTTAAATTCCACGAGACACGTCTCGATTTCTAAGGTGTTTAAAAAAACTTAAGTAAACAAATGTTGTAAGTCGAATCAATAAAGCATATTTATTTGTATGCAAAGGGCAGCCACTGATGATTGTGTGTAACATGATACGGACTGTGTTTTTGGTTGATCAAATACAAATTGTTGATTAATTTGCTATAATACAATAGCTGAAATGTTTTTACACTCAGTCTGACACATTGGAAAAACAAACACAAAAAAAAAAAACATTATTGAAAATTGTACAAAATTTAAAAATGTCGCTGGCAGACCAATACTTGAGTTTATCGGAAGAAGTCATGGAATATCTATTCGAACAAAAGATACGCGAACGGGATCTGATGGCCCAAAAAGAGGAACTCAAATTGCGCATGAATAAAATTGAAGAGCAATTGGCTCTTCTCCAGAATCGTGATGATGATCAAACCTGCATGATTGCCACAGCCAATCTCTATCAGCTGAGCACCGTCAAGCAGGTGAAGGCGGCACTCTTGGCCAGTCTAACAGCCAGCATGCAACCGTATCTCAAACTGCATCGCAAACTGTCCCGTTTGCAACGGCACATCAACGAGGGACACAGTGCGCTGTACTCATCAGGAGTTCGAGTAACTAACGCAACGCCTTAGAAAAGTCAAAGTTTGGAATACAATTTTGATTCGAATGAATGCCGATATAATCATTTTAAGCAGCCTTGTTAAACAGAAATCAATTTGGGCTCCAATTCTGATTTGGTATTCTAAATTCCAGATTCCAGAATCATTAATAAATACATCAAATGGTAACAGACTTAAACATTTAACTTTAATTTGTATATTTGCAAAAACTGATCTGCTCTCTTTGCTTTGAAAACTAAGAATTCAAATGTAGCTAAAGATTCTACAATTATTATACTCTACGCTTTATTTCAACTTTAATTATTAAAACTGCGAACTTCCAGTCATTGTTCAAGTTTATAATGATGCAGTCAAGTTCAAACACAATCCTCAACTTGAAAAAAAAAACATTAGTGTCAAAAAGTAACAAGAACAACAACAGCAACAATAAAACATCCCACGACTAATTTGAGGAGCTGTTTTTCATCCGAATTTTGAGTGTAATTTCACTGTGAGTTGGCGGTGAAAAGGCAGCATCTGCAGCAACAACAATGGGGCACCAACAACAGACCCGAGACCCGAAACTTGTCATAATTAAATGTGTAATATTTGTCTTCGCTTTCGACACCTTTGCCTCTCCCTCCCAGCCTCCCTTCCTCCCCACCACACGCCCTTCCTCCGCTTGAATCGTCTGCTCAACGAGCCGTGAGCTGCGCACGCGCTCATCGCGTCAACCTTGTGGGCTGCATAGGGGCGGGGCGGGCACTGAGCTGCACATAGGGTACGGGAAACGGGCAACGAGTAGTCGGATCTTGTAAATTATAAAAATAAAAATAAAATCATGCACATTTCATCAACTTAAGGTCTATTTCACAACTTGAACATTTATGCTGGCAACGATGCAACAAGTCGTTCCGCTTGCCTCATTTCAAAAGCGAAAAGTGCGTCGACTTTTTGTGGCCTATTGTATTTCCCAGAGCTTTGTGCCTCACTTTCATTGTGTGTGTGTGTGTGTGTGTGTGTGTTTTTAACTTTCGTTTGTGTGTTTGTTTGTTTGTATTTTTTTCTTTTTTTTTTTGCTTTGCTTTACAATTCACTGTTGTGTTGTGGCTGTTGTTTTGGATGCTGTGACTCCATTTCTGTGGCACGTGTGTTCATCTCTGATTGCCCATGTGGAAATTTACTACAATTTCATATAAAATGGTATTTAATAAGCAGCTAAATTGGTCTTACTTAGCCTGATTAGAGATTTGTATTTAATATCAAATATTTGTTACACTTTTTATCAGTTAATTAAAAGCTGAAAGTAAGCCGCTGCAACTCCATTTATGTGGCACGTGTGTTCATTTTTAGTTTATCACATTCATCTCACATTATTTAGTAAACAGCTTAATTAATGTTACTAAGCCTGATTGCAGTTTTATATTAATTAGGATTTGTTACACTTTGTACACCTCTATCAGTTAATAGAAAAACTAAATGTAATTTATTTTTATTAAGTACGAATTTCAGTTGCATTTCCAACTGGGCACGTTGTTGGCCATTGTGTTATTTGTACGCATTTATAAGCATTTTTCTCCAATTTAAAAATCCATCAATTTCATTTACGTAAAATACGAAAAGTTGGCGTCTGATGTTTAATTGTAATTGACCGCAGTTTCTGTATTGTTTAGTCTGTCGATCCCTTTTTGGCTCAATTTTCAAGTTGTTAACAAGACTGATTAATGGGCACGATTAGCATACGTAAATATTACGCAAATTGTACACAAGCTGCGTCATACTCAGCACACAATCGTATCGTGATTTAATATTCGATTTTCAGTTACAGGCCATGCGGCAAGTGCACAATACAAATGGATGTATAAGCCAGCTAAATTGTGTCGACGTTAATTAAAAAACCACACCAAAATTTGCATACAAGACGAAAATTGGTTGAAAAATTGAGTTTGTCTGCAAATTTATGCGCCGCCAGCCGGCGGCCATTTGGCGTTTTTCAAACGCTGTCACTGTCAACTGTCAGTTGAAAATCAAGCACATAAATTCCAACGAAAAAAGATCTGTAATTGCCTGAATAAATACCTGAGAAAATTGGCATACATGGTATTCTACCCCAGGCAAGTTATCGATTCAAAAGATATATAGTGTGTGAAAAAGAAATAAAAATAGCGAAAGTTTTTATAATGATCAATTCTAGGGAATTTTTCGCTTTCCTAGAATAGTCAATTCGCATAAAGTAAGCTTAACGCAACAATTACATAATCCGCCACTCACCTGTCTATATGGATTCATTCATTAATATTTCAAATGCTGTAAATAAAAAAATTAGAAATGTAAGAAGGCATAATGATAAATAGCATAGGCCAAAATCTTATTTATATGGCATAATTAAGTAGACTGTTTTTATTGGCAAGCATAAATTATGGTCGAAGACAATCACAAGTTGGAATAAAGACGAGCTATTTACCATTCGAGAGCCCTCGAAGCTCAAGCCCCAAACGTGTGCCAATTGACGATCGCCCCCACTATATATATAATATATGATCCCACACGATTGCTATAATACCATAATGGTGTCATTTTAATATGCGATGGGCTGCCAACGCCAATGACGCCCCCATGCCATGCCACGATCTATAGTTGGCCTAATCTTTGTCTTAACCAACTCGCCAAGCGCACTCAGCTCTCTTGGCGTTATTCGGTTGTTCGTGTAAGGCGTGTGTTTAAACTCATTAATACAGCCACTACGATGCGATCCGATCCACGCTGATACAACGACATCCTCGATTTGTATATATCCATGAAACGGCACAGTGGGTTTCTTAATTTGTTACTGTAGCTGAAAATCTTCTTACAGTGAAAGCAGCACAGATTCTGTTTCGCCTGGAAAATAGTTTAAAAAGAATACAAAAATGTCCATAGCTTACACCTCTTCTTAAGCCCGGTAAGGAAATCAGCTAATATGTTGATTATATAATAGTTAGGTAAAAACAGAAGAATGCATTATTAGAGATATTTGAAACCGAGTGGTTTCTTTGTATTCTTCAGCCGTGGTTTTAGAATTATGTAGTTTTCTCTCAGATACAAAAGCTATATATACATTCAATTTAGCTATTTCATTCTGCATATTTTTCTAATCGATCAAAGATCGATAGTTTTACTTATGTCTTCGATCACGAGTATTTTTATCAGCTTAAGAAACGTCAAAGCGGCAATCTTCGATAAAGCAAACAAAGCTCGCTTCACACTTCTCAACATGTTTTTGACTTCTTCAAAATCGGTTTTCATTGATATAAGGCTGACGCCCACTGTGCCTCAACTGTGTGCAACCGAACATAGTGCCTCCAAAATTGTAACCCCAGGGTCTGCGTTGGTGTTGTCTGGAGGTGCAGTTGCCGCATTTGGTTGAATGCCGACCGATGCACAGCGATTTTAAACGGATTTATGCATCGGCCGCCAGATTTCATACAAATTTCCTAAAGGGTTTCGTTTTTCACTCTTTCTGTTGTTTTTTATATGTTGCGTGGGCCAAAACCATTGAAGCTTTTCATTTCGATGCAAACGGCTGCTGCAGCCATAAATTGTTGCTGTTGTTGCATTTGTTGCATTTGTTGTATGTGGCTTGTGGTTTTTTGTTGGCAGTCGTGAAAGTTGCGTGAAGTAGAAGAAAAGTTCAATACTTTTCAAAATAATTGTAGAAAGTTTTTTTTTTTATTGGATATTAAAGTGCTTATGCAACGCCACAAAAAAATATTATTTATGATCAGAGATTCGCTTAGAGGCGTGTGCAGGCCAAACGGATTTGATTGAAACCTAATTGCCTATCAATTGTGGTTGAATAGTTCAATGGACATTGACATGATACAAGTGATATGAAAATCTCAAGCAGCGGAATACAAAATAATCGGACATTTCAAAAACGCAAACTTTTATTTTTATATTCGAAACCGTAGACGAAACCCCGATTTTATTAGCCAACGCGTATTTTCATAATATATATATATATATCTAAAATAGGTTTCTTCTTTTTGGAATGTGTTTCTTCTTTCTCGAGAGTGGAAATTAATATGATATCATTAATAATCATTAAAATTCCAGAGCTATCTTTTTGGTACAACCAGCATCACCTTCACATCCTGCTTCATGCCACATTTCTTATCCAGGCAACAGCAAAACGGGAGTCATTTATTACAACTTTAGTTAAGGTTGATTTTGTTCAAAAAATTACTCGTAATGTGGCACAATAATTTCATATTTCTCTTTGGAGCGATAATAAATATGTGCACATCGGGGATAATAACACCCCAGGCCATATCGCTAGTCCCACTGGGCGTGTGTGTAGTGGATGGATCAAGAGTCGCATCTTGACCCACATATCAGGCAAGTATGTGAGACGAAGCCACCAGGCGACTGACCAACTCCCCAAATAAAATGAAACTTGAAAAATACGTTGCGGAATGGCAAAAAGAAAATCACCAAAGCTGTGTCACTGACTGACATAAGCGGAGCGTGTTGCCAAAAAGGAAACCAGTCGAGAGTTTTATGATGGGAACCGTCGACAGCAAAAAAAAAACCAAAAAGAGCAACAACAAACATTTTAAAAAATCGAAAAAACCGTGTTGACGTCCGCCGCAGAAGCAATTAGGCGACTCTTATCAACGTCGCCATGTTCAGTCTCGTTTTCAGTTTCGCAAATATATCTTAGCGACCTACTACTGTACATATTGTACGTAAGTGCGTCTGGCCAACTTTAATATGCAAAAGTCTTCAGTTATCTCAAATGACCGAATATTATCGACTCTTTTTCTTTCTCTTGCAAAAGTGTAGTTTTTACCCTTTAAGTAATTGGATATGTTTCTCATCGATCTTTAGCTGTTTTTAGTGACTCTTTAAGCCAAACCGTAGTTTAAGCTTTCAAGTCTTCCCAAAAATACTGTAATTTTAAATCGAATATTTTGGACTCTTCTCTTTCACAAATTGAGTTTTTACCCTGCATAAGTATCTTTAAGTGTTGGTATCTTTTTGTATGTGCTTCTCATAGATTGTTAACTGTCTCACTAAAACCAAGCAGTAAATTCAGCTTAAAGTTTTATAGTTATTAAATATTTATAGCCACACTGATGGCAAAACAATAAAACTCCTTTTTAAAATAGTATTGCAAAAGGAATATGTAACGTATAAAATCCATAAATTGGATCGAAT